ACGCTCCGACCGCCAGTCCCGTGTCCAAAAATCATCTCCCCCCATCGCTGTCCCCGGCTTCCTCCACCGCCGCATTTCCCGCTACCGCCATTGACAGCGCTTCTCATCCACCGCACATTATTTGCCAAAACTTCACGTCACTGTCGCCCTGTACCGAGTAAATCGCGACTGCATCGACTTCGATACTATTTTTTTTTTTGGCTATCGTCTCTTGTATCCAGAAAACGCGTCGGTGACCAACTTCATCACTGTCGCAGTCGCAGAAAAAGTGCATTTGCGGTCCAGCGCCAACTAGATTTGTAAACACGACCAGCTTCATTTTGTGGGCAGCAATTGACCGGACTGTCGCATCACTTGGGCACGACCCGTGGTTGTTCCGAGAAGAGAACAAATCCCACAATCCCTCTCCCCTCTCCAAAAACACCAGAAATTTCATCATCTACAAGAATAGACACTGGCTACCCGTCTCCGGGTTCGCCTTTTTGACGGTGGGACGGAACTAAAAGGTGAGTTGCATGGAGTTGCCAACACATCACTGCATGCGCGCCTCCAATCGATTGCTACATAACCATTCCCACCCGACCTCGTCCTCCAATAATCGCCTCTGCGCTCTACCAGAGCCAATACTGATTCACTCTGGCCTCAGTACGTAGTCGGGCAATCGAATCGCAGCTTACCTTCCTCCCGCGCCCTCGAATCATTCCTCTCACACGCCCGCAGTCCAAACAAATCCATTCCAGCTTGCGGCGCGTCGCAGAGCTTCGGGAACGCTGGACCAGCGCCAGAAAGCGGCGACAACGACGACGACGACACCACCACCACCACCCTCGGTCGCCTGGAGAAAGCAGGGGAAAAGAGCTGGGAACAGAGGCTCCTGCGTGACGTTGCGAGGTCAGGCATCCTCATCCCGCGCCACACTCTACTGCCCTCGAGAGCAGAAGTGACAACTCATCAAAGCGCTAGACCCCAGCTTCTCCTGCAAAGAAGCCCAATCTGAGGCGAACTCAGCCCGGGCTTCGACGGTTGCAGCAACAACCCGGACCCTATCTCGCCTCATTTGTTGACTTGTCTTTGTCAATATAGTGAGTGGACCGCTGGGTTCGACTCCTTCGACACTTTCAGAACAAGTCTGCTCATCGTCTGCTCTGCCACCGACCAAGGTCAGTATTGGTGCTTTGCCGGCGATCCAGTGACCGCCGTGAGCTGCGCTAGCAACTAACGCAAGGGGACCAGGCTCCAACTTGCCGCTGCTAGACCCTCCTATCAGAGAGTCGAGGCACTTTATTGCAACATTTCAAGGCACAACAGCCCCCCGAGAGCGCGTCTCAGCTATTCGACCATCACCATTTGCGGCCTTGCTCGACTTCTTAACTGCCCAGCTTAGCCTCCGGAGACTTGCATCTTTCCGTGCGAGCGACAGCTGAGGCCGACCCAGCAAGTCATTTCCTGCGGGCCGAGAACCTTCCCTTCTCTGCAGCCCCGAATCCATTATCAGCACTGAGCGAGACGGTCGACCTTCGTAGTGGAAGGCGTCCTCATGATGGAATATCCTCCTCAGTATCAGCAACACACCCAACACCCTCATATGCAGGGCGGGTATCAAACGTCGCCTCAGAGTGCCGGTCCCGGTTCCCTTCAGTCGCCATCCGGCCCTGGGTCGCATATGCAACAACACAACCCCAATCAAGCTTCTCCCATCCTCCCTTCTCAGACCCAGAATCACTATCAACCTCAATCAGCAGGCGGTGTCCATCAGTCTATTGCTTATCCGCAATATGGTGTGAGTACGGGTATGACACAAGGCTATGGCATATCGCCTACCCAAGCTGCGGCCATGGCTACCGCGGCGGCATCAGGTGAGCCTACACCTTGCTTTTAAGCCTCAGGAGGGGAATCCATCTGCTGACACTTCATGATAGGACAAATGCCGCCCCTCCCGTCGACTGTGAGCATGCCCCAAGCAGGACAGATGAGTCAACAGAGACGCATGAGCCAACATATCACGAGTCCTCACGGCCAAGTCTCTCAGCCTGTTCTGAACCATAACATGCCTCGACAGTCTGTTCCTCCTACAATGCCTCCTCCCCAGCAACCTGTCCAACAACCACAGGAAGAAATTGTAGCGGGAAGTGCAGAGGAATCTCCGCTGTACGTCAATGCGAAGCAATTTCATCGCATTCTGAAACGCCGTGTTGCTCGACAGAAGCTTGAAGAGCAGCTCAGGCTCACCTCCAAGGGCCGAAAGCCGTATCTCCACGAGTCGAGGCATAATCACGCTATGCGACGACCTCGTGGTCCAGGAGGTCGGTTCTTGACTGCCGATGAAGTTGCGGCCTTGGAGAAGAATCAAAGTGAGGGCACCGAAAACGGTACGCCTGCGACCAAGAAAGTCGATAACGTGACCTCTGGCACGAAGAGAAAAGCCGGACCTGGTGACAACGAGACTCCTGTCAAGAGATCCAAGGTCGCCAGTGAAAGTGCTGAAGAAGAGGATGACGATGATGGTGAAGAGGATACGGGCTGAGCCTGATGTCCTTCTGAAAGCCGTATTGGACATTCTTTTCCTACTCTTTCATTTGTCTTGCATAGGAAGGTTTGCCACTTTAGCAAGCGTTGTCTTTGTCTGAGGATGGGGAGAGAAGCATAGTCTCGGTGGGAGGTCTTTTGGATTTCGAGATGACTTGCTGGTCTCGCAGGGATAATCCGTTGGTCACCCTTACTTTTCCTTTGTCCGCCACTATCAAACATTACAGAGAGTACGGGCTCACGCCAGGACACGCCAAACCATCGTCACAAGCTGACGACTTGAATTTCCAATCTTCCCCCGACACTATCGGGTTGGCGGCATTCTATCGTCTTCTCGTTCCACAACAACGACAACAACAACAACCAGGCCCCCCGCGACGACCAGCCGTCTACGTCAAGATGCCCGCTCCATTTTCGACTCAACGCCTGTCGCTTCCAAATCCATTTGCTTTTTCCTTTGGTTTACCGACCGAGCCTTTCCTTTTTGCTCTACGTCCATGGACAGAGATTCTGGCGCCGGAAGTAATGCACGGGAATTCAAAATTGGATTGACGACGAAAGGGGGGTGGTAGCAGTCTGTTGGTCCCTTGTAAGATGATCCGAATGCTTGCATCGATCATGGCTGCGAAAGAGATGAACAGACCTACCTGAACCCAAAGCCGGGGGATCTACCCAGTAGAATCAAGGACTCACCTCACCGTGAAAAGGGACAAGGCAGATAAGCGACACAATATGGGAAATAGGAGGGAATTTGAGTCTTTTTGCACTGCGAAAACCGGATGGGAGGATATATTGGGCAAACGAGAACGACCCGAGTGCACACGCACAACCAATGGACGGCATCATTTTCTTTCTCTCCTTCGACTATGGGTTCCGGTTCATCGACTGAGCCGCGCCTTATTCCTTTCAGCATCGACAATCCTTTATTATTCCCTCTCACATCATCACTGACGATCGTTGAACGAAACCGCCTGACGAATCTCCTTGTGCAAATCTGATGTTTTTGTGTTTTTCGAGATGTGTTTTGAACAGATTGCCTTTGCATGCTTGGTTGGTGGAAATCACAGGGATGGGACTTGGGAACAATGAAAGGCGGAAAGAGAAGCATTACAACAGGGCCGGGACACCTGGGCTACGAGGTGTGAGAACAGTTTGGGCTGGGCTTGGTTGAGGTTGCAAGGCTGCCAGGTGCAGTGAAGGGCGCGCTGTTGGGTACCAGGATCATTCTGCCCCCTGCCTCGGTATTCCACGCCATGAGGTTACCTCTAGACGAGACAAGCCCCATGAAATGGAAGGGAGGAGAGAGGGCAGAATGACACCGCTGTGTTCCAGAGGTGATGTTGATGGCATTGACTGTACAGATCAGACTGGGCTGGATGCTCGAGATAGTGTCTTTTCCTTTCTACTTGAGGTATGAGAAATTGTCAATCATATATGCTTTTTAATAACTAGCTATAGCCAAGACGAGCGATCACTACCGTCATGGACTTCTTTCGCAGAGCCGTCGCCCTCTGAATCGAACGAGGTGTGCGGATGGAGGACTCGGAAGGCTTATCACCCTGTCCACATCAGCCCCTCGTCTCCTCTTATGTATATGTATGTCCCCGTACCTACGGAGCACTCGTCACCGCATTTACCCCTAGACAGTATGTTCTATGGACCTAGTACTGTAGATCTACGTCCTCGAACGAACCCGTATATATATATGTACCTATGTATGTACTCCGTACCTAGAGTGAGTGTTCTCGTATGGTCTCGTCTTATTCTCATCGTTACATTCTTACATACCTATTGCCTGCCGGTACGGGCCCGGGTCGAGTCGGCCGCGATGATGAAGCGGGATGTCATTTATCGATGCACGTTTGCCTGTAATGCCATTACGCTTCCCGAGTGTAAACGAATGTATCTATTCACTCTGCAGTTCGGTGTCGAATCTCGTCTAGCGTCTCTCTACCTTTCTAGATCTGTCATGTGTGGTCTCGTCTGGTGACGATGCAACGCTATGCTGGTGCTATGCTAATTCAGTGCGAGTAACGGAAAAGAATGCAAGACGCAAGCTCTCCTCCCCAACCCCCCTTTCTCCAGAACGATGCGAATCAGAGGCGAACATCCCAAGGTTTGCAGGTCCCGGAAAAACAGTCATCCTCCAGGTACCGAATAGCTGGAATTCAAAAATCCATCACGTCCAGTCCCCTTCTCAGCCCGGCTTATCACTTGCGCAGTGATTTCCCGCGTCGAAAGGCTGCGTTCGTCTGATGCGTGGCGTGTCATGGAAAGCTTTGCGAAGTGATGGCGAAGCGGACGGAATTCGTAGCAAAGCGTATGTTTCTCATATGATACTCGTGGGATTTGGCATTTATAGTTGTCAATAAAGCTGGACGCCGGTAGATCGTTGTGGGTCACCGCGATAGAAATTTCGTTTGTTCGTCATGACTGGTCCCTGTCCAAGTGGTCCCAGCCAAATGAGCGTAAGCCTAAAAGGTCCACTCCTCGTCGACAGATTTGATGGCCCATTCGAACTTTTCACGTAGGGTTTTTGAGAAGAACTTCTCAATGGGCACGCTGAATTTCTTGCTGAAAACCACTGTCAACCGTGGATCGATGTAGTTCTGCAACGGAGATGCGGTTAGCAAGCTTGTTGCCATCATGGCGGTGTAGAGGGCTGCGTGGTGCAGAACTTACGATCTTCGAAGTTCCCAGTGCCACCTCTTTATTGTTCTCTTTGTCCTCTGCCTGCACGGACATGGTAGCAATCCTCGCGTCAAACTTCTTGACATGCTCCTCCAACTTCTCGATGGTAGGGGACTTTCCTTCGGCCTCGATCTTCTTCGTCTTGTTCTCCTTCTGGAACCTTTTCTCCAATTCCTTGACAGCTTTGAGGCGTTCTTCGAGCTCCTTGGGCTTCATCTCTTTCTCACCTTCCGCTTTGAGTTTCTCATTCTCCTTTTCGAATTTCTTAGTGATCTTAATCTTCTGCTCTTCCACCAAGAAAGCCTGGTGTTCCTGAATCCACGCTTCATCCAGGTCGTCCGGCAGCTCAAAGTACTCTGCACCTTTCTTCTTCTTGATCTTTGGGTCGATGTCGAGCATCATTTGTTTGATTCGCCATTGCTGATACTTGAGGCCTTTGATTCGGTCGCCTAACTTCTCCATCTGACCCGCATGTCCAGCTGCCACGGTTCGCTTGTGGTTGCAGAGAATTGCAACTTTCCGATTAGCGTCATTGTAGTCCTTGATCTTTTCGGCTATTGTACCTTCAGATTTCATCTCGGAGAGCAGTCTGGACATTGTGAACGACGCGTTATAGGTACGGAAGACCTTAGCAGTCAAACCAGGCATATAATTCTTCAGGTGGTTATTGAGTTGCGTCGTAGTGAGCCTGTCAAAGATGTCGTCTCCCTCACTCTTTGGCGGCTTCTTGAAGATCTTGAGATTCTTGAACACCTGCGCGTCCACTTCGAACTCTTCATGGAAGCGAATGCTGTCTTTTCCCAGGAAGTCAAAGATGACAGTGTTGGGAGCTCGCAAAGTAATGTGCTCGTATTTCAGGGAGCAACAACCGACTGTGTCAGCCTCGTCATCCCCTTTCTCATTACCCGCACGAAGAGCAAATTGATCGATCAGGTACATGGCGGTTGCTTTTTGACGTTCCGCCATCAGCTCTGATTTGAGCTCCTTCTTGTAATCTTTGCGAATCCGATCAATGTGTTTCTTGAGTTCACGAGCCTTCTCGAACTTCTTATAGTCGCTCTGGCCCTTTATGTCTGAATTCGCCGCCAGCATAACATACTTGTAGTTGCCATTGATGTTTTCCTGCCACATGGCCAGCCACGTCCCTTGCTTGTCGTGTTTGATCTCCTTCCACTTGTGGCCTTCTGGCGGAGCAGGGACGGTTGCCTCCTCGCCAATGTTGATCGTGATCTGTTCAGGCATGACTCTGGTCTTGACTTTGCCAGTTTTTGGATGGTCACCTCGGCCACGGAAAAGCCCAGGAGGTTCGACTCGAAAATTGCCAACCTTTTGTTTCTTGCCATCCCATGTGCAATACATGTACGGAGCTTCGGCTTCATCCTTTGCTGCCTTAATAGCTCTCTTTTCGTCTCTGGACAGAGCCTTTTTCGCTGCTCTGTCAGCCTCGTAGAACTCAAAGATGGGCCTGAAGTCGCATTTTGAAAATTCTTTAATATCCACTTTCTCGCCGTTTCTGTTCTTTGCGCCGCCGGTCTTCTTTAGAATGTCCTTGAAGTCGCTGAAGAAGTTTTTCTGAAAGGTAGGGTTCTCCACGTTGTGCGTCGAGTTGAGCATACTGCCAAAGAAACCGGCAACTTCTTCTGCATCAGGATGGAGAGTGATGGGCTCGCCGTCATATTTCATCTTGACGTGGTCGGGAAGAGGCTGATAAGGAGGTGGAAAGACAACGCCATTGTGCTGTAATGTCTCCCACTTGTTCGTTCCATCGCCTTTGGTGGGATCCTCCCACCATTTGACTTCGTCCTCTTCTTCCTCCTCGTCCTCAGGATCGGCACTCTCTTCTTTTTTGACTGCCTTGGGATTCTTTGCGGGTGAGGAAACTTCGGGCTTGCTCTTTTTGGCGGATTTGGATGGTTCAGCTTTAGCTTTCTTGGTAGCAGCCGCGGGTGCTCGCTTCGATAGAGGCTTGTCATCATCACTGGATTCCTCCTTTTTTACTCTCTTTGCGGGGACAGCTTTCTTGGGAGCCTTCGCGGCGTCCTCCTCTCTTCGAATCTGCTTTGCTTCCTTCTCTGCCACTTTCTCGATCTTCTGTTTTTGCTTAGCAAGCTTCTGCCCGAGAGGCACGTCAGAGTCTGACTCTTCGCCGATTTGATGAGCCGAAGCTCGAGGAGGCTTCTGAACAACTTTGCCATTTGCCCTTGGCTTAGCGACGAGAGGGACATCATCAGAACCCGACTCGACAGCAGTTGAAGTCTTTCTCTTTTTGCTCTGCATCCACATCAGCCGATATGATCTCTCGAAAGACATATTCTGGAATTGAAAGGGTCGCGTACCAGCGGCAGATCGTCGTCGCTGCTTTCTGGCTCGGCGTAGGAAGGTCGTGTGAGGCTCTCTCTGGCCTTGCGCTTCGCAGCAGCGACGCCGTTGAGGAGATTGTCCTTATTGCCGGATGGTGATAACTCTTCCACCTTCACCTCACCGTTTGCCATCGAAATACCGGGCACGACTTCGCCGTTCGTGGGGATCTGGCGGTCCATTGCAGCGTCGATCGAGGATGGAATTTTGGATGAAGACAAGGGAGGTGCGACTGCTTGCAGTGTGAGCGAGGAAATGGAACGTCGACATGCAAAAGAATCTAGAGTTGAGACAGGCAACGCAAACGAAGTTGCCTGGACTAGTCGATTGTGGTAGAGGGAGCGTACCTCCGTTTGTGCCATTCACCCTCCTTGAACCCGCAAGGGGCATATCGTCGTCTGAAGAATCCATGTTCCACGTGAGAGAAGAGACAGAGCGCAGAGGCCTGACGAGGAAGGGGTGTAGATGTTGAACGGCGAATAACAGAGGTGGACGGAAGCAGGAGGGAGAGGCGACGGATTGAAGTGACCTCCAAAACGCGCCTCGGAAACTCGGAATGGTGGGCGACGCTCGATAGCAATAATGGGGACCGTGCCCGTGGTTGGTATGAGAGGGAGACGATTGAGGGAGGCGGTGATAAAGACAAGTGAGAGAGAGAGTGTGTGTGAGACAATGAAAGAAGAAGAAAGAAGAAGTGAAGGAATGGGCGAGGCCGAGAAAGAAAAAGAAGGAGGGAAATCAGAGTGCAGAACGCAGTCCACCAAAGTCCACCCGACCAGGCGACTCGTGAGGCCGTTCTGAAGGAAGCGCAAGAACTTAGAAGGGCAAGAAGGGCAAGAAGGGGATCCAAAATGCCCAAAATTGCCCCAAATGCCCACTTAGATTCCGTTGTATCGACGATTTTATGCGAGAAATGCACCATCCCCCATCTGGCTAGCGCGTCTTCCCACTGGCGAGCTCAGTTCGGAACCTCAGTTTGTTCACTGACAAGCTGCCCTCGCACCAACTGAATCTCCTCTCCCTCACTTCCACTCCATCTCTCAACCCTGTTCACTCACGGCCTCGTGGTCAGCAAGTTTCGCCATGATGCTGTCCAGAGCTGTGAGACCGGCCCTCGCAGCCGGCAACGCCGCCCTTGCAAAGTGAGTTGCTGGAAAATCTCAGGAGCTTGGATAACATAACTCATCCATCATCAGGACGGCTTCCCCCCAAGTCGCCGGGTATGCTACACTACGAGAAATCGAGAGTATGGGGTCTGCGGCAGAAAGCTCTGTTGCAATCGCTAACCGGTGCCAGGTCGCCTCAAGTCCATCCGAAACATTGAAAAGATCACAAAGACCATGAAAATCGTGGCCTCCACCAAGCTCACTCGTGCGCAAAAGGCCATGTCCGATTCCAGAACCTACGGCCAAACGTCAAACAAGGTCTTTGAAGAGGCGGAGACAAAGCCGTTGGAAGAGAAGAAGACACTCTTGGTTGTTGCCAGCTCCGACAAGGGCCTTTGTGGTGGTATTCATTCAGGGCTGTCGCGCACCACTCGCCGAATGCTCGAACAGGATCCAAACCTCGACATCGCAATCATCGGTGAGAAGTGCAAGGCCCAGATTGGCCGTTCCAACCCTAGAAATGTCCTCCTGAGCTTTGCCGGCGTGGGAAGAGACGTCCCTACCTTCGCAGATGCCCAAGCCATTGCCGACCAACTCGTCTTGCTCCCCGAGGAATACGCAAGCATTAAGATCCTCTACAACAAGTTCATTAATGCCCAGAGCTACGAACCTGTCACCGTTGAGGCATATTCCGAGGAGGCTATCACGCAGTCTCCAAATTTCACCGCCTTTGAGATTGATGACGAAGTTCTCGCCAACCTCCGCGAATATTCGCTGGCCAACTCTCTCTACTGGGCTCTTGCCGAAGGACATGCTTGCGAGCAATCCGCCAGGCGGAATGCCATGGATGTGAGTCATCCTCTTGAGTTCTGACATTAACATCCGTGCTGACGTAGTCTCAACAGAACGCATCCAAGAACGCCGGAGACATGATCGGCAAGTTTACCATCCTGTACAACAGAACCCGACAAGCTGTCATTACCGGAGAATTGGTCGAAATTATTACGGGTGCCACTGCCTCAGAAGACATGTAGGCTTCGTTTCAAAAGAGAAAGTTGTACATAACTGCCAACCTCAATTTTCACTATTGTCAAAAGAATGCTCCTTCAGGTCTCAACCCCAGTCTTTGTGTAGTTGTGCACCATCTGGTTGTTGTTGCGCGTTGTGTGAAGTTACTTTCTCTACTTACCCTGCCACAGTGTTGTGTGGTCTTTGGCACAGCATTTGAGGCATCACTGCCTTGATATGACTTCAAGGGCATCCTTTGTCCATCTCTGCCTCGATCGGATTCCGAACATGACAAGTTCGTGTCGATCATTCCGCAACTAACTACTCTTTTTCTTCGAGCGCTTTTGACTCTGGAACTCTTGCAAGCCTGCCGAAGATGACAGGCCATCGCACAGTTTTGGAGACCATTTACAGCTTTTTGAGACCTCGCGCACAGTCGGTCGACATAAGCAGTGATAGGTGCCAAGATGGATACTCAGACTGTCGCGGACCGCAGAATCTACCACGACTGCAGTGTCCAACGCAGCTATCTCCCTTGCGAAAGAGAAAAGCTGAGTCTTGGCTTGAAGACTCTGTTGGATTGTATCCAGCTTGTGACCCAGACTGTGAAGCCCACGATCTGTTTGGCGACGTTCTCAACGGGTATGCGACTCCCAAAATAAATCGCGGTGCGGTTCCCTGGCTCGATAGTCTCCCCGATCCGAGTATAAACTCGGACGCAAAATTAAGTCTCGAGGAAGTTGCATTATGCGGTACTGGTGCATACCATGACAGAGAATTCGGAATCCAAAGTTCGCATTACGCTCCCATTCGTAACAACCACGTCCAGTCTATTCCCGACCGTTTTCAGAATCAAGTGGCCGTCGGGAATCTCTAGGTCATCGTTGGCATCTCAACGTGCACCCTTTGGATGTTCAACCCACGTCAATTCCTTGACAGTGTCCTCTTTTCGCTCCCTACCCACGCTTGGCCAGCAATTTGAGATATTGCCTTCTTATTGCCATCGTGAGCCCAGATTTGAGAGTCGACCTTTGCGCGGCGGTTTTCAGCTGCTTGGTCTTCAAGAGGGAGAATTGACTGGGAGTATTCTAGGAGTGGATAACGCCAAACAACGATGTGTGGACTTGGATGGCGTCGAGTATTTGGGCCTTGGAAAGTGCGACAGATTATGCAAGATGAATGATGGGACCACGTTGCTGTGGTAGAGTCGGATTAGATGCTGCCGGCAGGCAAAACACAGGGGCTGTAGGAGATGGAGGAAATAGGGCAATACCCATAAGAGCTCCCAACTGGGTAGTCCATGATATGGCATGCCTTAACTCTTGCCTTGCTCCATCCTTGGTCTTAAGTCCTCCAAAAACAAACTATCCCTCCGAACATGTCGTTCATAATTGGTCATCCGAGTAGCCTATCAATTTCACTGCCTCTGCTTTTTTTTCTCTGTCTGGTTCCCGGGGGCCAACTGCCCTGAGAGTATATGGGTAAAGGTCACTGCCTTCTTCGTGGGCAGCAGAATTGAATTGCCTTCGTATAGGCAATCTTGAGCATACTGCCTGGTAACATTGATGTACTGTCTCATCAGCTTGTCGTTCCCAGCGCCCCATTGCGTCCTATATATACTCTCTCTACTTCCTAGTCATGGTGATTTTTCTGACATCCAAATAAACCAATCATCAACGAGTCTGCATTTACATTCCAATCTCATAGTCCATCTTCTTCTCTGGCAACCCTTCCTTGATACACCATGCCTTTCCAAATCCTTAAAAACTACATGATCCCTCGCAAGCAAAAGTCCGCAATCCCGAATGGCACACCGACAGGAGAAGCTATCGATATTCCTCGAGGACCGCTCAACATCTGCAGAACTCTAAGATGGACTCTTGATCCGGGAAACGAGGGGGAATTTCTGCTGACTCTTAAGAAACCACTCAGCACGGTCCTTGCAGCAAAGTATGTGGAATACTATGTCGTCTATTCAAGGCCCGGCTGTATGAAAAGAAAACCTCGAACCGCTCGGCGTTTGTCCTCTGTTTCTTCATGGCTCTCGCTTCCACAGTGAATGAGATCAAGCTGCATCGCAACTGTGCAAGATGGTCTGTCAGGGGCCTGCAGTTCGCGGAGATCTACAAGCATGTGGCCGGGGTCTATGAAGAAATCATCATGGTGCGCCAAGCTTGTGTGGACGTGCCACAGATTTGCTGGAGGAACGACATATGGATGCCTACCCTGCCTTTCGTCAGGAAATCGACGAAATAGAACTTTGGGGCCATGGGCGAGACGTGACACTGGCAGTTGCTCAAGTTCTCCTTCGTCTCGGCTTGGGCGATTCTCATTATGGTTCTACTTATTACGGCCCTACCTCCACAAGTCCTCTACCGTTCTAAGGCTTGACTAAAGCCCCATTGATCTTCTTGCTCAACTAGGCTTATGGCCTCTGTCAAATGACACAAGGTAAGTGAAATCCGAATAGTGGCTATTTTTTGACCACCCTGTTGAGCACCAAAACCAAAGCAGGAGAGGGTGGTCTCGGGTAGTAGGGGTTGCGTTTGTTTACGCTTTGCACAACATACAGAAGGCGCTCGGAGTATCTCAGATAAGTTTGCGAGGAAGTCCCATATAGATTGTCAACTCAGAAAATTATCAAAATTCGATCAGTCTCCATTTCATATTGATGTCAGTGTCTTCTGGCTCCCTTGCCGTCGTGGTCGCGATAGAGGTGAATTAAGGTTTTTATGGCCCAACCCCCTAGAGATGGCCAGCCTTGCGGCCGCGATGAATTCCGTCCTCGCCCCGAACATACCGACCAACACAAGCTACCAAGCTTCCATCAAACCCCCAGAGTACTCTGTAATTTCCTATCTGAGGAATGTAACACAGAGAAACGACTACTTGTTAGGGCACCAAGTCGAGTACATGAGCTAAGCACGGTGGATGATGCCTTGAACGGAGGGTGACGGTACGTATAAACTCATTCTACAGAGGTTCGCGCTAGCCATAACACTGACATAGCCCTCATACACTCCTTTAGAGATAGTAGGATATTCGTGCGAAATCTTTTCCCTTCCCTGCTTGTCCTTCCTTGTCCCTGTTTGTTCCTGCTTGACCTTAATCAAACCCCCTTGGCAATGTTTTCGAAGCCGGACAGAGTTTAGCACAACCAAATTCTGGCCGGGTTTTGTCACGTTTGGCGTCCTCCAGTCGAGCAACTTTGTTTTCCCAAGTTCATAAGTCCTCTCAGAATGTTGCTGTTCGTAGCCATCTCTCTTCTTCACTGCTCTTTTCACCGCAGCACCGGCATTTTACTCGGCGGTCAGCTTGATCAGTTTCCACGCTGAGATAACCCTGTTCCCCTTATTACCAGCAATGGAGCACAAGCTCTGACACTCCCAGAAAGTACGTCCCGCCACAGCTGCGAAACCGTCCCGGGGGGAGTAATGCTCTGCCTGCGGCGTCTCCGCCCCGATTCAACCTGCTGAGTTTTGGCAAACCCGCACCTCGCAACCTTGGAACCGGCCCAAGTCTAAGTCGCATCCCTGACGATCCGCCACAAGCGAATCCTAAACAAGCCCAGTCCCCCAGTCGTTGGATTCAAGAACTCCTTGCCCAGAAGACTCAAAGAAGTGGACCCCGACTTCTACCTCATCTCCTTCTAAGGGCACCTCGCCTAGCAGACCGCAAAATTGACGGTCTCAGCGAAGCGTTCCAAGCTACCCCAGCATCTGGTTCCTCTGCTGGCCTACCTGAGAGCCTTGTCTCACAGGATCGATCAAATCAGCCAACCACCACAGCACACCACTCAGGTGACACGAGCAAAGAAGTGTGAACAGATCCAAAGACTTCTCGATTCACTCGCGGATGAATCCGGCAGGTTGTTTGAGAGTGAGCCAGATGGTCAAGACAAAGAATGGCAACGAGAAGATGGGCTCCAAGATCTTGTTACCTCGTACGATTCTGATCTCCGCGAGCAGCTCGAATCGTTGAAGCCGCGGATAGTTGAAGACCAAGTAAATTTCGGAATTATCGTGCTCGCGGTCGGTGTTCTGATCTTGTTGATCTACTTCAGGCATGTATTATTCTGAGAAATCTCGGGGCAATAGTCGCGTCTTCGCACAATCGACCTGGTGCCGATGAACAATTGTACCTTTCACGTCCTTTCTCCGACAGGCAAGTGTCAAGGAAGCTCTCCGGTACATGAGAGAGCTGAAAATGTCAATGACAGACACGGGCGGTTCGCTATAGAGATCTCAGTAAATTAGATGATCAGACACTTGCCAATGGCACAGCTTGATCGACAACAAATGGGATCCCCAAAGCTCGAAGATGAGATCAGATGAATCGGGTGTGAGGGGCTGTTGGAGAGAACTGATGGGTAGCGCGTCTTCTGTTGGCGTTGCTTCGTTGTATCATTGTCTCAATGGAATGTCAAGTAGTCGGACCGAATTGGACATCTCCGATGTTCTGATGTCATGGTTTAATGGAAGGAGAAAATGAGATGGATCAATGTATACAATGGTGCAAAACTTCAATCGGAAACAACAAATCTGTTTGCTGGATTGCGATTAGAATAGTCAGTGAACATGCATCAAGTTTTTGGACTACAGCCTAGTCCGCACTCTTCTAAAAGCTCTTGTGGTTGGCTAGGACTTAGACAAAGAGCCTACACGATTTTGTCCCGTCGATGGTAAGAATGTGTCTCTTTGAGGCAGTGCTAGCTGTCGCTATCCGCACTACGACTTTATCTTTGTCGCCTTTAAATCCCCAGCCAAAAGTCTCCCAACACAACAGGCCATCAAACAGCCTTAGCGGCACCACAATTGTTTTGTGGGGGAATTTTGGGTACTCTGCTTGCGCGATCCGCTAAGTCTGCAGCATGAACAGAATAACTGGTGGACTTTTGATTGTAGAGAGGGGGGGGGAAAGAGTGAAGAATAAAGCACAGCATCACGTGCGAGGAAAAGGGGTATACAATATATTGCGTCATAATCAAAGATGTAGTCACATGACAAGAGTACCTTTCCTATTTGGACATATTAACAGAATCCCCCCCTTTTTCCAAGGATCCCCTTCATTCACTTTCATCTTCCTTCGTAGTTGTCAAACTGCACAAAACGTCTCTTTGTCATCATCCAGACCATGGTCAAGGGCCAAACCCTCTCGCACCTTGCTTAGGCAGAGAATGCGGACATTAGGACTCCTAGATTTTGCCTGAACGGCGATGCCTGCGGCACAGCCTTGTGCTGATCCTCTCCTCTCATACTCGGTACAGCGGCAACGATGGTTTGTCTCTATTGACAACTAATATTAGTGTGCTCATCCACTCCCCTTAACATCTAGTATTCTATTTTCTGGCTTATTTGGTTATTTTAACACAATTTGCTTCACCACTGTTTTCCATTCCACGTTTGCGCGTCATGGAGTGATCAATATCTTCACTAAAACCCTCCGCTATCTGCGCCGTTCTATGCGCTCTGGGTCGCGCCATCACTTCACTGCGCGTTGCTGCCTCCAGCCGAATGCCAAGAAGCTGGAATCACAAAACGCGATCTCCGGGCAAGGATGGTCTCGTGTTGATTTCATTTGTATATCTCGCTCTTCGGCCTCAGACGTTTATTTCTTTCTTTCTTCTCTTTCCAATTCCCTTGATCGAATAGGATCGCGTCCGACCATCGAAGAAAAAGATCTCGCTCCAGCTTGGTGGCTCCTCCAAAACACATTCCTCTTCCACCCTGTGCTCAAGAATCTAAGCATGTCCTCATCAGACGTCATCCATTTCATCGCCGCTTTGCGCGAACAGACCCGCCGGCTCATTTCTGTGCTCCCTGACCGGTCCTTAGTTCTCCCCAAGCTGCCACCCATGATTACGGTAAGTTCTTCATCCTTGCACTTCCTCGAAGGCCCATGGCCTTCTCAAGACCCAAGCTCGAACTCAGCCTTTCCTCCTCCACTGTTTCATAGACGAGGCTGACTTCATGAACTTGGTAGAATGTGAACGTCTTTGCGAGGAAAATTTGCGCCAGATTTTACGTTACTTGAACCATGTTAACAAGGAGTGCAAACGTCAAGGCGCTCCTAACTCGTGCACCAAGGTCTTGCAGCATCGCGCAATGGTCGAGCAAATGCATGATGTTGACAATGGGTCTGAAATACGATCCCTAACCCTCGACACACCTGGACGGGTCGAGGAATTTGGAATGAAAGACTCGATGGTGGAGGATTTGAGGGAATTGCTGAATGCTTCTCCGCTGGCCAGTCGTATCTGCACACCCTCCTCAACCGCAAGCATCAGCACCTCTTCCATTCTCACGCACGCCACACAAAGTGGTAGTGAAACTTCAGCCAACCTCTCTCTGTCAGGGTTAGATGGCAGATGTGAAGGAAAAACCGTGGATTGCTATAGAAGTGAGGCTGAAGATCCAGTTCCCGCCAATCCTGTCAGAAATGAACAAGATGGCACCAGGGGAATTGAGAACACAGTCCAAACTCAAGCCTGTGGAGTGGACAATATCGGTATTGGTGATACTATTGCCTTCAGATTCCGGGGAAGTGACAGCGAGAATACTTTGGATTGGTCACCTCCAAACGAACGTCAGACATTCCGATTCAGACACTCGTCTGACTCGTACCTTCTGAAGTCCCTTGATATCAACTACTCCGCGTAATCTAACAGTCGATGTGTCTCTCTTCCAGCCCGATGCGCGGATGAAATGGCTTCTTGCTTCTTGCGATGGAGTGGGGAGACGCTGGAGGAGTTCATTCGCGGCGTGGAAGTTGATGATACCAAGGTTAACAACAAGGTGAGGTGGTTAGCCCTTCTCTAGCAACTAGATACAGTTGCGTTCCTTGGGCGGTGGCCTTCTCCGAAAACTTTGAAAGACTTCATGCAAATGCGTCATCTTGAGTGGGTCGTTCGGGTGGGCGGCAAATGGGATTTGGAGTCCAAGATGGCCGGCGCCCAAGAGTCTGCTCACTGCAGCGACACTAGACATGAAGAACCTCCGGTCGAGAAGTCTCCTGACGACAGCAGGGGCCAGGACGGTCTGGCTATCGGCGAAGTCGAAGACACTGTTGAGAAGCATGGTGTGAACGAAGTCCTCGAACCTGAAGATATTGCCCACGATGTTCCCATGGACGGGTTTACCGGAGATCGACTAATCCCTGATCACTCAAATGCGAAGGAGCCTCCTACAGAAGATTTTGTTGCTAACGAATCTTCAGCTGCAGTCTCGGGCATTCCTTCCTGGTCTGCCACTCCGATCCTTGTCGGCGCCGCTCCTTCAGCAATTCTCATTTCCACCTTCTGTCCAGCCCTCGCGGCTGTGATGCTTTATGGCAGCATTTCATATGTCAAGTCTGGGTTGCGGCGATAGATGGCTACTTCCAACACCTGGAGTTAGCATCTCTAGCAATCGTGGCAGCTCCGGACCCAATGCCTTATGGTGACTTTGAGCTACTGCTGACTCGCCAAAAGACATGGTTGTTGGAGTTTCGGAGTGAACGGTTATTGTTTTTGGAAGGACCAGCAAGGCTGCACCCGTGAGACTGATACCTAAAATGTACGGTTGCTTTGTATGTGGTGATTTTAGCGACTGTCGAGCTGAAGTGTTCTGCTGGACCTCAGGTACAAGGCCTTTCCTGTTGTGACGGATTCTATGGAAGATTGACAGGCATCGATCCCGGGGGCGGGGGGGCGGCCGAGGGGGGAGCAGAAGAGGATGGACAAATTACAATGTCAGGACGGACAGGTGGAGGAGCAGTTCATCGGTACCTGCAGACCCCTTTCCAGATTGTCTTTTCGTTGGCACAGAAGGGCCCAAGTATCAAAGTCGGCAGAAAAAGTCTCTTTTATGGACATAGCAATAGAGCGTCAAGCTCAAGGTCCACTAGCAATACGTCATTCGTTCATGTATATAGCACTGCTCCGGCCCTCAATCAGCTTAAGGATATCGTGGAACAGCTCTAGCTTCCATCGAATCCCCAATACACCTTGACGACACTGCAAAACCCACTGCTTGTGCTGCGTCCGCCCCGTTATCTTCTGCAGCAGCAATCACCATTCTCTCCACAAGTTATTCGTGGTGTCCCGTCGCTGTTGTCTGTCGGCCATCCTTTCCATCACCCTGTCCATTTCCACTTCAAAGTCTGGTTCGACTTCCGGAATCTCCAACTCATCTCCACCCCTGCGACGAAATCCATGGGGCCTGCCACTCCGTCTAATCTCCCATCCATGTTTGCATTCATGTTCTACATCGAGGAGTTCACCACACGAGTAGCAATAACTGGTCCAATAATCCGTGACTCGAGATAGAAGTCCACGTGGCCCATAATTGTCCTGGCAATCTCCTTCTCCCTTGTCCCTTCCCCAGTAACTCTCATCTCCCTCTTCCCACAAGAATATTCCTCGTCTATGTCTTCTACGACGACGTCGTCGTGAATGTCGACTGTGATGTGGATTTCCAAGGCCAAAGAGGATTTAGTCCTCAATTAAACCTTCTGCGAGTTCTGGACAGTCGGGATACAGTTGGCGGTCAGGGAGATGTTGGATAAAAGGGCAAACGCCTGATTCATCGCAGTGAGGCCCGTAGATGGGCATTACGGAATTCCATAAGCGGTGTGTTACCGAGGATTGTTTCCAGGTGTTTGGGAAGATGGCTCGAAGATTGCGATGGTGTTCAAAAGTTGATACGGAACTGAGAGAAAGTTAAAGCATAAAGCCTGGATTAATACTGCTTAATATCTCAAAAATCTGTCACAGCTCGTGAGTAAAGCTGTCACGAGCCCACCATTATCCCCAAGTACCCTACGCCCTCCACCCGAATCGGGTGGACGGTATAGGAAGAAAAGGATAAGACAAAGGATGGTTGAAGCACAAGCTAAGGAGAGCTAAAGCAAAAGGCTATTAGTTGACAAGGCTATCGGTTAACGCCGCCTTACCACTTTCACGTGACAGAAAGAGGGGAAGCTATAAGAGTTTCCTCTCACCCGAATCGGGTACGAGAGAACTCTTCCCTTTTCTTAAGCGTTGAGTCGTTGTCAATAGGACTACGTAATATAGAACAAGGCATTCAGCTACTCTAATTCTCTGTACCTACTGCGTTGCGCAGGTCCCTGATAAAAGCTCGTTTGCTGTACTGGTCACCTCATAGGGATGATGCGTATCACTCATTCATAGCACCTAGCTATAGCTCAAGTCCGTGTCTCGAAGTCGCCTGAAACATTGATTTAAGCCCTATATTTGTATGCTGCCTCCTGTGCTTAGGTTCTCGTGGCTTAGAGACACGGTGTTGAAACTCGGCAACAGCTCAAAGCCCTAACATCTAGAGTGGATGCGAAGGGTCCCTCCATTCCGAGTCCGATAGACGCGAGGCTGGAATCTCCCACCAAAACCACCCCACATGACTACTTTGTCGTGGTCGTCATCATCATCATCGTCGTCGTCGTCGTCGCAGCCGCCACCGTCGTAGCCAGCAGCATTGTAGTTCTCGTCTGGCCTTATATCAAGGCCGCTTCGTCCTGGGCCTCTGTGAGGGGGACCGCCAAAGTCGTTGTTCACCACAATAGGCCCTCCTTCTCGCGTAATTCTGACGCCCCCTCTGCCACTTCCCGGCGGTCCCCTTTCCCGTCGTCCAAGTGGCATACCTCCAAAAGACGCCATTGTTTCAAAGTCATCGAAATCATCCTCGTCAAAGTCGTCGAACAGCCATGGCGGAGCAAATTCCATGCCTGGAGGAAGCTGACCCCGTCCTCTATGAGGACATCCACAGAAAGGGTTCCTTCCGGGGCCACGGCGTGGTCCTCTCTCAAATCGGCCGCCACCAAAGTCGCCAAAGTCATCAGAAAAGTCGAAATCCTCTCCACCACGGCGGCCTCCACCGTGAGTCAAGCAGTCTCCTCTGCTGGCGACCGGTTGGTCATTATTCCACACCTCAGAGCCACTATTGTTGCCAACTGCCCATGCGCTGTTGATGGTCTCGTTGGTATTTCTTCTAGGCCCTATTCCGCACCCTCCACCATTTCCTTGCCTCCCCCATCTAGGGCCATTCCCGAGACCGGTGACGGGATCGGGATAAAACTCTGGTCCATCCATCTCGCCCATATTGCCATGGCCGAAGTATCCAGGCAATTGTCCAGCTCCGTCTCCCTGGTGATCTTCGCCGCACGTACTGCAGCTGCGATCACGAGGGGGACGAGGTCGTCGGCCGGGTGGGCGGCCATGGCGTGGCATGCTTGATATTACTGTTGGTAATTTCGAGCCTTTGCGAACAGGTCTGCTGATGATGGCGGGTAAATGCCCTCTATGTGGCTTCGACCGGGCAGTGGGTAATGATGTAAGAATGGATGACCTGGCATTACAGAGAGAGATATATGTGGAACCTTGACCACCACTAGTACTCTGTTGTGATAATTTGACTCCACTGATAATCTGACTCCAACTTGTGAATGTCCCTGACTAGAATTTAATGATATATCGCCCTGACCAGTTGCAGCAAACGAAACTGGCCGCCGTAAAAGTGACAGGGAGCTAGACTCAGCAAACGCAGGGACTTGAACAAACGCCCTACAGTGTCGAATGATTTGTCGAGAGAAACCGCAGTCTGGACTCAGTCTGGCGTTAGGTGGATAATAGAGATAGATCCCCTCGGGCCAGTTCCATCAGGTACACAAATAAAAGTATCGCCACAGCGAATGAAATTCACAATTGAAAGTGAATTTTCCATGGCCAAACTCGGGTATGTCCTGTGTGTCACGGGATGGACGGTGTGTTTTTGCTCCGACATATGAACAAAGCCATCGGGAGTTTGATGCTCACCATCCCACCGATTTTTGACACAGGGTGACTTCGCTTTTCATGACTGTGGTCGCTGTCTCTTCCCGCACTACCGTTCCTGCAGGAGAAGAAGGTCAGTTACCATTTGCCTACCTGATTGTTTGGGATATGTTTTTCTTCGATCGGCACTCGAATCGCTGGTTTCGATATCTTCTCGCTTTTGGCTCGACACTGAATACCCTCCAGTGTTCACTGGCCAATGGTGTAGATTTGAAAGTCTCCAGAGTCCCCTTTCTCACCCAGCTGCAACAGATAAAAGGGTACAGATAGCCAGTATCTAAATCCACAAAAATGGAGACTAGAAATGTGGGCCTGTAATGCCCAGGCGGCACCCTTACTGCACTTGTATGTTTACCTTACCGCAAATGGAAAACATGAACGCGCAAATGTTGTGGAGACGCAGTCGTTGATGACAGTCATGAAAGGAACAAAGGTGTTTAGAACTGGAGACAAACATGTTTCACAGCCTCTCAATGATCCTTAAAAAAGGGTGAAATCCAACAAAGGAGTTTCCGCTATGCCAGGAGGGGTGAAATGGATGCGAATTCATGCCTGTGAACCTCGTATATGTAGTGGTACCTAGCGAGGCGAGGTGTTGTACGATGGGTTTCGTTATGGACCTATCTGGTTGATTGTGTCCTGTCCCCCTGGCTACTCAGAGAGACTCTGCCTTTTTATATATACATTGGCCTGTAACCACAAGAGCATTCCTGAAACCTCCTACTCCGTCGCCATCCTGTCACAGAACTGCAGGGACAAAGAGGTTGAGGCAGTTTGCGCAGTGGGTGAAGCGTCTAGCGTCTCAGGTGGTTTACCACAGTGACTATCTTGCAACCCTGTCAACAAGGAGCCTGGGAGTTCTGTCATCCCGACTATGACATTGTTGTCCTGCTTTGGCCTCTCCATGGTGTCGGCTCCTCTGGAGGGAGAGGGAACAGCGAGAGTCAAGACAGTCGAAATGTGGGTTTTACCACCCTTTTGAAGGAGGCTTGGAGCTGCATGGATCTAGGTAACTACTTACCCGGCGGAGCCTCGGGCTAGAAACTTATCGTCGAATGCATCTGGCGCGTTCACATGGCCTTTTGTGCGCCGGCCAGGAGAATGGGGACATTGTCTTGGCGTTTTGCACGAGGTACCTACTCGTAGAGGCAAGAGATTGTTTTACTCAACGGCCGAAAAGGGGTGTCGAAAGTCGTTGTGGCCGCTTTTCAGCTGGCCACAGTAAGCGTCAACCCAGTTCGATGCTTGCTGGCACGAGAAATTAAACCCGTTTACGGTTCAGCCGATCTGTCGTGGTTTTCCTTCAGGCTCGTCAGGACGCTTGGTGACGCTGGTGGCGCTGCTCGGCACGGCCACGACCAAGTGTTCTCGGCAAAAGAGATTTTGAGTCTCGATGCCTCTGATGTCTAAAACCGCTTCTCCTCTGCCTATCTTCTTCGTTTGGCGGTGTGCCCACTGAAACAGGTGCTTCCCACTGCCCATTATTCTGGCCGTTCTTGCTGGTAACTGCAAAACGACTCTTTAGTCGAATGATATGCCCATACCTGTAGAAAACATAGGGGATAGGTGTTAGCAAGAGGCTCACACATCCAAGGATCGTGAGTGTCCAGTGGTGTCCAACGTTCTGGTAGAACGGGGTCGCGACAACTACCATCCCACCAGAAAAAAAGTAGCGAGAGAGCGTGGCGAACACAAGAGCGCTAGCAGCGTATATCTCATACGTATCGATCAGATACATGTATGTGGTGGTGAAGGCCAACACACCCGCGTGCCCAAACATGACGGATGCCGCAATCGAAGACCAAATTGATATACTCCGGTAAGATGTCCAGGCCATCCAGAACAATGAGATTGGCATGGCAGGTGCACCCAGCATAGAGTACCATAGTCAAACCTCAGGATCGAATTGCGTCTTGCCATCGGCCTCTGCCTTACGTTGAACATTGAGTGTCAGTTTGTAAATCCATGGGACGCATCCGAATGCGGCACAGACGCCAATGAATATCCCGAGAAAGATTGTATTCGTCAACCCCTGGGAAATCTCGTATGTCAGGCGAAAGATAAAGTCGTACCCATTGAGGAATGTGAAAAGGATGATATAGACCAGACACAGATAGAGTGAGACAAGCTGAATTATCGGCTCGTGTAGTGCCAGGATAAATGGCCGGCGAAGAGCAGTCCTCAGGCGTGTCACCAACGTCATGTGTTCAATTTCGTGCGCGGCATAATATCGATCATCGCCCGTGATCTTACGTAACTGCCTCGCCTTCCAGCTCAGCAAGACAGGAGGGTAAGTCTCCGGTTGAAAGAAGAAGGTCATGAAAAGGACGGCTCCTGCGAACATGAGAGTCACCCATTCTGCCCAGCGCCAAGAATGAAGAATGGGTGATTCCGGAATCCAGGCAGCCATCACAGGACCGAGCGCTGCTCCTCCGAATCCGAATATGCTAAAGAATGGAAACATGAAGGTCTTCTCCAATGCCGTGAACATGTCAGCAATTGATCCTCCTGCGCACACTGAAGGTGCCGCTCCGACAACGCCCGCAACGAACCGGAAAACGATCTGACTGCCGATATCAGGTGCAAGAGCTGATGCTGTGATGAAGATACACAATAACGTCAGGGAGGGCAGATAGACCTGGTTTCTGCCAAGGACTTCGGAAAAAGGACCACTGATCAATGCCCCAGGCCCAAAGCCCAGCATAAAGCTGCTGATGGCACCAAAACTCTCTGTAACTTGACTGACTCCGAGGTACTTCGCGGCTTGGGGGATGACTGCACCATCCAGGGATGACGCAGCACCGACAAGACAGCCAATGCTGCATACTACCAACATTGCTCTGAAACGTTTGTAAAAGGGCCAATTGCGTGGATTGAGAGAATCTTCTGGTCCATCTCATTCAACGACAAGGACTGTTCTACCGTCGACAGTCTGAGTCCTTTGGCGAGAAAGACATGGCAGGCTCCGTACAATTTCGACATCAGACTCAAGTTGCTTCCTCAGGGCCTGTCCTATCCGGCGGTACTGTAAATATGTTTCCATCTTCGTGCCTAATCAAGGGATGCTTGAGAAAGAATATCGAGAATGAGATGGTGGCAGGGTTTAGAACAGAGATATAAGTCAGAAGGTCCATAGAAGACTCCATCATCAACATGACGCATGACAGAGCCCTAAGGCACCTCATCTGGGAAATTACGCGCTCCATTTCAAGATCAAAATTTACTCCCCTCTTGCTATTTAGACCTCATGTTAGAGTAGCACTCGGGGCTCGATGTTGAAGAGCTAAGTCAGCGCCATGCGAAAAAGGGACAGCCATATCGTTCTAATATTGAAGCGAGATGTCCGCGGAGAGGACTTGAAAAGTGTCAGGCACGACGGAGATGTTCGAGAAAATCGATCTATTTGGGTTGGAAGAGGGCGTACTTTATGCTGGCGGTCAAGACGATGTGAGACTCAATCGGCTACTTCGCCGAGAAGGCTGAATAATGCACAAGGCGCGAGCGCTGATTGGCGGCTGGATAGTGTGATCGGAAGCCAAGACTATCTTAATTTCATCGCTCTTCGCTGAACTCACCGATGACCAAGCGACACAATTACTTACCTAGTGCTATCTCTGGCTGAAAAGAGCATCAGATCAACTGGACAACAAAGGAGAAGACGCTGGGCCGCTTTTGGATTGCAACAAAAAAGCACTTCTTTTTAGACTCAGCAGGACGAGGCTTTCAGCTCGGCACAGAATCTGCGAGACCAGCAAAGGCCAGCCTTGCTGCCCTGGATTTGTGCAACTCAGAGCTACAGCCTCCCGACCCTCCCCGACTTTTGGACACAAAAGGGGCAATTGAGCCTTGTATCAGAGGACTTATTTTGACCAAAAAAAAACTATTCCTCTTCGACTCGACTCGACCTACCAAGCCGAGTTCTTTCACAATGACACCCCCTACCCTCCCACTCGCTCTGTCTCACTCAGCCTCTCAACATCTAATCCTACTCTCACTTGAGCCATTAACACCCTCATCATTCTCCGACTTCGGCACAGCTATATGCCCACCCTTTACACCCTCATTAACGACTCCTCCCCGCTCACCCGCGTCTATCCCTATCCCACTTCATTCCCCTCATCAACGGCCCCCGGTCTTTGCAAACCAGAATTCTGCGCTTAAGACGTCTCCGGTATCGCAATTCACGAACAAATACCCCGCGAGCCCGGTTTCAAACCCTCAGATGAGCATGTTCTCTTGTTTCCCCAGAAACCTAAGTGGTATCGGCATCCAGGCTTCCAATTCGGGCGAGAGCATCTTCAAAGTCTCGATTCTGGAGCGACATCCTTATACAACCCAGACATTCAGTCCGCTCGGCCTCTCCGCCTCGGATTCTTCAGCGGTCTTCCTCGTGGTTGTAGCTCCCTCGCTTCCTTCTTCAACCACGGCAACAACTTCCAGCGGACACAAAACAACGGTTGTCGACCCTCCGGATCTCACCCGCCTTCGCGCCTTCCTGGCCAGAGGCGATCAAGCAGTCACATATGCCCCTGGAACGTGGCATGCACCCATGGTCGTGCTGGGCCAGCGACGGGTCGATTTCTTGGTCACGCAATTTGTGAACGGTGTGGCAGAGGACGACTGCCAGGAGGTGCTATTGGGGCGGAATAATGTAGGAGTGGATTTGGGTGGTTTAGGCTTGGATGTTCATGGGAAAAAATGGAGGCCGAGGTTATAAGGAGTGACCGGAGGATATAAGACGACATCGTGACAGTGGAAACCAGGACCAGGATTGTCAGCCGAATGTGAGGTCAATTTTTTGTTCGACATTGACATCCCGCCAAAACGGACATATTCAGGGGTATCATTTGCCAGTGCCAAACAAACACGGTCCGGCCGGCAACTGCCATCCCAACAATCGCCCGTTGTCGTCTAAAACTCAGGATCAGGGTGGCATGGTATCCAAAGCCGACCTAGCCAACACTGGGTTTGAATGGAGAGCATCACTTTCCCCCCTCAAGCTTTGTCACTAACCTCTTCATGCCTACCCATTCATCCATGCTGGCCTCACCATTCCCACACTGCAATCCCTTCCCGACGTCAAACACTGTCACAACGCCATCGAGTCCACCAACAGCCATATGGCTCCCTCGCTTTTCCTCCCACGCCACCTTGTTCAGCCCCTTGAACGGGACCACTCCGTTCTTCCCTCTTGTGGGACTTACCTTGACGATCGGAACTTCCAAATCATAACTAAGGTCAAACACCTCCAGCTCCCCCGCGCCTGTGACGCAAGCAAAAACTGAAGGCTTATGGGGAGCCCATTTCGCATCGTAGACAAGATCTTCTCTTGCAAGATTAAGGATGGGGCTCACGACTGTCGAAGCTGCGCCTCCTCCTGCTATGGTCGACGCACTCGTGCTCGAACTCGCAGCAGGCTTCACTCGCCACAATTTCACGGACCAGTCGGAGCTAGAACTTAGAAGTAGATCCCCTAGATCAACAGGTCCCCGTGCAGGATGGAACTGCGACGACATAACTGGTGCGGTGTGGCCTTTGTAGGCAACGCGGGTGTCCACGCCAGCTTGAGCTCCGGCACGATCGTACCGGTGGCATGGGTAAATGGTGCCTTCTTCGGTGCCGACGAGGAAAAAGGTTGGATCTGCAGCAGGGAAACTCATGCTTGTAGGGGCAAGGTCGTCGGTTTTGGCTGGAGGCGGGGTGTTGAGGACGAGATATTCTTGCGCTTGTGTAAGCATGTCCACCGACCATGAGCAGACAACGCCGTCCATTGAGGCAGTGATGATATTATGAGCATTAGGTGTTCCTACAACACTTATGCTGTAGACTGGATGTGTGTGGCCAAGGTGGGAACCGGATTGCGGCGTTTTCTGGACTGGCTGCCCCGTACGTCCAGAAGTTCTAGTGTCCCATAAGCATATTTGGCCTGAATAACAGCCGCCAATAACGAGATTAGGATGAAATGGTGAGAATCGAGCTGAAAGGACGTCGGATGACGCTGTGAAAACGTACTCCGGGCGAGATGGAGCATGTGTATTCCACAGCAAAACCAGACCAGCCGGTTCGTGAGGGGCAGACGGATTCTTGGTGTAAGAGGACAAGAGGAGTTCATTAAAATGTGGAGAAAATTGGATATCCGAGACAATGCGTCTGCGAGTGTATCGGTCGGAAAACAGTTGAAAAGATTCGCGTAGAGAATGGGACTTTTTGCCAGTTCGTGAATAGGGCGTAGCATCATTGTTGTCGTCATCATCGTCATGTGTGGATGTGCGAGTATAGTCTGCCAGCAAGTCATACTCATCGTCCATATCCAGGGCACGCTCAATGACTTTTGAGGAACGCTCGACGAAGTAAACGAATTCGGGAGAAGCAACCACAGCGTTGAGTTCAGTATTGGTAAGGGTGCGCAGGGGGAAGCGCTGCTGGTGATGAGAACTTGTTGATATTGAGATCATGGATTCTCGATTGCGCGTTGCTTGCAATTCTTCCTCAATTTCCTTGCGCAGCGCTTGCCGGATTTCTTCGTCTCTTTCTTGATCACGACGGCTGAGCCGTCTTCTTTGTCGGAATGATAGGTCGTCATCGTCGGAAGGATCTTGCGATTTAGCGGGTTCTTCGAGATACGGTTCTGTCTGCACGCCCTTTGTGTACGTGATATACTCCTTCTTAGGGGGGGCAGGCTCATGAGCGGAAGCATCGACGGAAATGGGAAACGAAGTATCCGAGCTCTCGGTCTGCGTGGCTATTGATAGCATTAACCTTCTTGGCGAAGGTTCGACATCTTGCTGAGGGCTGATTTGCCCAGTGAGAGTGCCCTGAATTGAACTGGGCCGGCTCCCCCTTCTGCTGGGCGAGGCTGTCGAGTCTCTGTCTCTCTGCCGATCGATTAGGCTCGAGACGAGGTGATCAATCTCGGACCTGCGCTCTTCGGCGGTTTTGCCAGGAGAAGGGGCCTGTGTGGTCATCAGCACAGACTCTAGTAGAAGCTGCTGGTAATTCATACCTCCCCAATACTCTGCCGACTCGACGTATACTGTTCCTGGCGCAGTTCCCTCTGTCGCCGTAGCTCTGCAAGGCGAGCCTTCTTGGCCAGTAATTCGTCCTTGCGCGACGACATGGTGGACTTGACGTTCGGATGCCAAAGGGCATTAGATGGAAAATAGTAACAGATCAAACATTTAGGCACGCGAAAGTCGAGAATCGCGCGATCACGTGATAGTTTAATCCCAAAAAGACGCAAGGGATAAGCTCGGACTTCTGAGAAACAATTTGCAGCTTCAACTCCCGCAACAATTATTTTCTGTTTCTTTCGACGCCCCCGCCGTTCTCACGCAGAACTGAACGGCTTTAGAAAGTTAGCCGCATACTTGAGCTCTGCATATCGGGCTCCAGCTTCTGCGACTCAGGTGCGGCTTCGGTCACTATGTCAACGTCCCAGGGAGTCAATGTACGAACTTTCCAGCGACCCAACATTTTTAGATGCTCAATCCGTGGATCTTTGTATTTGTACGAGGCATTCGCTGACTCTTTACAGGTACTCCGATGGTCAGCTCTTATTGCAGGTATCTTCTACGGATTTTCGCACCAAAGAACCATCACCGCACGTACTGCAGCTGCACACGAGAAGGCCGAATACGAACACAAAGCCGAGTTAATACAAAAAGCAAAGCTGGAATGGGCGAAAAAGACGCTACCTCCTCAGTCGAAGACCGCCAGTGGTGACAGTACGTGATTGCTATGAAATGGCTAGATCTATGGAGTCGTCGAGACATAGGACTGACAAGTAGAGCAGTTATTACGGACCCGAACGACAAAAATTTCGATCTTGAAGCATAT